ATTAAAATCATCGTTTGACTCCACCCGGCCGGATCAGTGTTGTTATTTGGATTACCTCCTGTATCCCTCCTTAATATTTGAACCCTAACAATATACTTGACTTAATTTTAATTACACTTTTTGGGTGTAGAGCACATGTGGCATGCATTTTATTTTTAGTAAAATTTATTTTTGTCATGGTCTCTGTGTCTTTGTTGAGTTACTCTCGTCAGTACAGCCCCGATAAACCCTGTTTCTCGTGTGACTACTGGGTTTATGCTAACCGCAGTTCTCTTGTGCTTAGGTTCTCGGACTTGTCCGTACCCCCGATCTGTTTCCCTGGTGGTGTGGCGTGGAATGGAGTAAGCGTGAGTGTGTAGAAAACAAATACGAGAGGAGCGAGTGAGCGGAATGTGTTTGGATTCAGAAGAGTGCCGAAGACAAGCTGGGAAGGAGCGAATGAGCGGAGCGTGTTTTGAACTTTCTCCCCTTTTCCCCCTGGACCGCTGCACATCCCTGCCCTGTACACTGTCTATACTTTCACATGGTGTTTTGTAAATAAATTTACGACTGCTATTCTAGTTCAGCTGGTCTGCGCCTGAGTCCATTTTCGCCTGTGTTACAAATGTTTTGCAATAAATATCAAGTGAAAAAAATGTTTCAAAAGTGTTTTCAAAAGAAAAAATACCAATTCTGGAATATTATGACCTGTTATTATAATTTACATAACATTCATAATAAAATAATGTGATATTTAGAATCCCTATACATCACTGCCTATATGTCGTCAATACAAACAATGTCAGTAAGAATGTCAGTAAGTCATTAAGTTGACCTTGAAGATCTTAGTGAATGTAGGGAAATTTTTATGGATTGTTAACATGAGCCCACTCTGCACCCCTGCAAAGCTTTAATGGAATTTATTTAAAACCTTCCAAGCTGCCGTGTTTACAGGCAGGCTTGAATTTGCCATATTTTTCTAGTCAATGTCCAATTGTAGTGTGAAGTCTCCTCCAGTTAACTGAAGCCTGACATTAGTGGCCTAGTGCCACTGGAAGCCATATATGTCTTTGTGACACATTTCCTCTGTTTTGTTGATGATGTTTTGGCAGCAGTTTTGGCATATATTGGTCTGCTGTGAAGTGGAAGAACCAAGGTTTCAGTCTATTGGACAGTCCCGCTGTCACGTTACTCAATATTCAGACCAGCAGCCAAAAGTAACAACAGAATATCCAGTACAAGAACACTTCATTAGTCCAAGCAAAAAGTGTTCCTCCAAAGGCAGAGGAAGGGGCAACATAACTCGAGTTCTGCCAAACTTTATGAAATCACTTTCTCCTGAAGTGCCATCATCTGGGATACCCAGCAGCTGAAATCATACTAATTATACAGCTTTACAATATCACAGCAACATTACAGTAATAGCAACCAGTCCTTGTGGGAATACTCATAGTTTCTCAAACTGGAATTTACTTAAAGTAACTGTGGTATCAGATGTCTTACCACAGCTCCCACTACCCAAAACCTACCCCAAAAGACAAAACTGCATAATTTAACACAAAAAAATATGAGAAATATGCATGGGATCTGGGAATAAACAGGCCTTTTCCCATGAGAAACCAGCAGCAACATATTCTGAGACCTCTAAAATTAGACATCCTAACGCACACGCATCGCCTGAAAAGGCCACTGACTAAAGTCACATAAAAAGGGAACGGGGCAAACCTTTCCAGTCCCAACTGACCCTCACTCCCACTTGGCTGCCATCCAGGTCCTTCTGGATAATGATGTGTGTAGTAAGACTTTTTCCATATTTATTAGCGATCCAAAAAGCTTTCTGCATCCCTGTTTTGACTGCCGATGCAAAAGCTTCTCACATTCCTAATATGACTGAAATGGAAACCTTAATATTGCTTCACAGAAACCACAAAATCTTCCTTTTCATTGGTGTGTCATCTAGAGGAGGTGATACATGATGAATAAAGGATCATTTCTGGCTAAAGAGGAAAATAGATTCAACTGAATGACCATAAAAATTCATACAAAAAGGGTGAATACAATAGACTGTATATAAAAGATGGTCATACCACCCAGACCTCTCCCATTGGTTTTATACTGTGTGTAATGAAGCCAGAAGTAGGAAAAGCTGGCCAAATATGCCGAGAATCCCAGCTGTGCACAAAACAGCCAAGCAATGATGCATTCAAGAACAACCAGATGTTCTGAAATTTCCAGTGTTTGTTTTCCTAACTGCACTGTCTCTAAATATCTCTCAAAACCATCTCAAAAAATGTGCTCCATTGACGAGTGTCTGATGTAAAAGCTGCAAATAAACCCCAAATCTTCATCCAGCAAACCTCTCGCCTTTGAGGGGAAAATCCCTGCTCCATATAAGATGCGTGTGACCTAGCCAGAAACCCAGGGAGATTTGCCTCGTCAGTGACGCTTTGGCTTTGGTGACAACACTGTGTGGTTGTGTCTGATCAACATTTTCTTGTAAACCTAGTGAAGGTTTTGTCAGAAATCTCATTGTTTACAGATGTGGTATAAGTGTGTATTTATCTAAGTTTTATTTGTCACTAAACCACAATGATTCAAAGACTGGACACCGTCTGACATCTTCAAGTTAAATATTCATAGAAAAGATGGAAGGAGCAACTATCAATTCTGGCCAAAACCATTTTTGGTGCCAGGCTGTAAATGGGCTTTTTAATTTAGGGTTTAACATGGGAGTCTTTTAGGGATTGATTCACTTTTGGAGCCTGCCACTACAAGACAAACAATTTTTGGCTTCCCGTGATGGATTCATTTTCAGCAAAAAGGCTGGATGAAGATGAGAGACATATTTATACCCATGTGCAAGATTTTTATCAAGCCACCTTTGTTAGTCCATAAATTATCCAAGTTCAGATAATTTTCTGCTCATCTTATCGCGACATACTTTCCTTTTTGCCAGCTCAGACCAAGCAACTGTAGCATTTAGAAGAAG